CACCATGAACCCACCAGAACATCAACGGAACGATGCGCACGTTTTAACGAATGGAACATTAGAGACGAGACGCAACACGCAGCAGCAGGAGTGCGACTGTGGTCATGCAACTCAAGCTGTGGACCGTAGAGCAAACCCACACACGTTGTGCTACATGGAGACTCGTAGAGACCCATAAGAGACTCGCAGAGAGAGAGGTACATTAAAGACCAGCCACAGCGCGACTCAAGCTGTGGACCGTACAGTCAACCACCGTCGTCTCTTGCTCGAGGGAAAATGAGCTGACGTGACTGCAAGACCACCTCGTGAGTCCTGTGTCTGTAGACAGACCACTGCCAGTGCAGTCGCATGCAGCTCAATGCGAAGCAGTGCTGGTTGAGATTACAACTAAACTAAAGTATTTATATTTAAAATTACCAGGTAAGGCCCCACTAGCTATGTAGATTTTGTTTTTTCAACAGCGACCTGGCTATCACAAATGATATCTCAACGAAGTGGCTTATCACGGAGACATTTATTGCAGACACAAATAAAATAAGAGACGCGTGTTTGTTAAATGTAGAGGGAAAACCGGAGGACCTGGAGACAAATCCACGCGATCACGGGAAGAGAGACACCGCAAACTCCAAATATACAACAGGCGTCAGAATCGGAACCGAACCCACGACCTCCTGTATACCAGGCGAGGAAGTCAACATCTCCTCGCCACCGTGGCACCCCACACAAGTGAACGCCTCGACTGCCTCACAGTGGTAGGAGCTTATCGAATAGAAACAGATCAAGTGGCGTAGTCTCTTTCATATCTGTCTCTCCGCATACACTATATACATCACGAGCTAACCATCCACGGGACCAGTTGTGTTGCCGGTATCGACATGGCGATGTCGGCAGAAGAGAGGCGTTTTACCCTTTCCGGAAATAACGCAGGAGGTGTCAAGACACCCAAACACCAAATGGACTCACCGATTGCAAGGCGTCGAGTCTGCATTAGCCGCACATTCACGGATTGGTGTTTGCATCGCCTCTGTGCTGCCGTTCGCCTCCTCGTGTCGTTGTTCTCTGGCCTGACAACTGGTGGGTGGGTCAAGGACATGAAGGAGGACGTCTCTGCTGGAGGCTATTGTCGTGTCAGGGACAAGGCGTGCATCATCAGAGCACGTCGCTTTGGATGCTTGACCACAAGCGCGACGTGTGGTCAATGCAGACTCGATGCCCTGTAGTCGGGGTGTCTATTTGGTGTTTGCGCTTCGTAACACCTCCTGTGTTATTGTCGGAAAGGGTATGAAGACTTTTATATTTTAATCATCATCATGATGATAATTAAATTATATTGAAGCCGTTGAAGTAAACATTAGTTTAAAATTAAAGGGACCGTCTATGACATCCAAAATATCACTTCTAGGAGACATAAACACTGACACATTAACAAGGGGCGAAGTTTCTCCAATGAACACGTGAATGCACATTTGAGCACACTGCACAGAGTTACACACTTCTGCAAACCTTGCACGTTACACACAACAGAGAGCAGCATTATAGGATACAGAGCTACTATTGACCACGGTGAGAAGAGTAATAAGAATAATAATCAGAGGTACTCGCTGACAGTCGAGACGATGGGGCCACGTGTATTCACCTCCCTCCCGCCCCCGGCCGCCTCTGCCCACCCAGCAGCGCGCCAAGGCGCGGTGGGGTAAAGTGTGGGCACCCCGCCTCTTCGAGTCGCTCTGGCCGTGGTGGGAGAGCCGGACAGAGACATCCCTCTAGAGGAGAGACTCTCGAGCTCGCTGAAGGTGGAGGCCGGTCCGTCAACAGTGGAGCGAGCAAGCAATTGCAGGGCTGCGCCTGCAGCTGCTGCGTCATCGCACTCAACTTAGTCAACTATTTTTATTCCGCCAGGTAAGGCGCACTGAGCTGCGGAGCTCTTTTATCGGAAGCGACTTTGGCCATCACAAATGATAGCTCAACCAAGTGGCTTATCATCGTGTGGACATTTATAGCAGCCATATATTTTGTACTCTACTTTGATTCAACGGGTATCGTACAGACAACACCGCACTATGGCGATAATCCGAGTCCTGTATGACCAGATGGTCAAATATTCAGCAGGAAGATTGTTGCAACATCAGCTGTGAGAGAAACGTCAATCAAACACCCAACGCACACACACAGATGCACACACGGACACCTGCATTACGCACCCCATACATTGACATCTACGCGGCTTGTTCAATCCACTGCTGGATGAACGCCTCTCACGTACCGTGTGGGTGTGGCTGTGTGACCAAACCTCGTCACGCCGGCAACGCGTGGATTAATCAACTGCTGGATGAGGGCCTACCCCTAAACCGTCGGCGCTCTCTCACAATAAAAATGAAAATTAAAGAGTTAAATATTTTTAAATAAAAAAAGTAAATAAATTGAAAATAATAAAAGCAAAAAACCCACGACGTTTCGATCGCAACACAAGCCGTCTTCATCAAGCGATGAAGCGATGAAGACCACTTGTGTTGCGATGGAACCGTCGTGGATTTTTTGCTTTTATTATTTTCCATTCATTTTTTATTTTACTATTTTTAATTTTTATTTTGGATTTTTCGCTATTATTTTCAATGTATAATTTTATCATGAAATGTTTAATTACATTTTTATTTATATTTTTTTCTTATTTTTTATCTACGTAACATTACCGTAAGAACCAAGAACATGAAGATGTGGAAAATAATGTTGATGATGTGGACCATCATGATGTGGATGATGATGTGGACAATTATGTGGATGATGATGTCGATGATGCAGATGATCATGTGGATGGTGATGATGATGTGGATGAAGTTGATGTGGATGATAATGTGGACGAAGATCATGTGGATGATGATGATGTCCTCACCCTGCGCGTGTTCCCCACTCCACGTCTTCTTCGCCTTCTGCCGCTCAGAGTCTCACCCCAAGCTCGCCTCGCTCTCCCCCTCGCTTCTTCTTCACTCTCGAGGCCTCTCGTTCCACCCTCGCCACGCGTCCCCTGAGCCCCCGATCCACGTCGATTTGGGTCGCAGCTGCTGAGTGGAGAGGCCCAAAACGCCGAGCGGCCAACAACTCAGAGCACTGCTCAAGATCCCTCTGCGTGCGTGTGGTTTTGTTCTGCCAAGTGGTCGTTTTAGGCCGTGATTCGTGTCGGGGTGAAGCGGTCGCGTTGACCACCGTCACTCACGGGGTCGTGGACCCCCCGTGAGTGACCAACCGTCACTCACGGGGTGACGGTTGGTCACTCACGGGGGGGGGGGAGATGGCACGAGCCCCCCCTCGTGCTCCCCACGAGCCCCTCTCCTCCCCGTGCCCCCCACGTGCCTCTCGCGTCTCCAACGTTGTAACGATGACGAGGGACCACGTGCCGAGTTTGAATGTCGCCATGTTGATGATCGTGGTCGTTGCCAAGGGACACGACGGTCACGTGAGGCCCGTGACGGGCACAGAACTCCAGCACGGCGAGAAGAGCAGACGTGTTTGTGTGATTCTGCGTCGTCCCTGCTCTCTTGAACGTGAACAGCGGCGACACTTTCAACAACCTGAGAATCCCATCGACCGATTATGCCACGAGAGCTTCCCCAAAGTGAGCGTCGGACTTTTAAAGGGAAATTATCAACATTTTTACCCCAAAAATGTCAATTTCTTCCCTGCACACGCACACACGCACACCACATACGAGACAGGCAGCACAGTAGAATAAGCTCAATGCTTATTTATATTCTAGATTTGAAGTTTTCGTCACTGCAGGGATCCATACTCTTGGGTTCTTTCGGTAAAGTCACGGACTCAGCAATTGTTTCTTGCTGTGGTTGTCCCACCTGATGACGGACACTGTGTTTGCGCCCGAAACGTCGTGATTTAATTTATAAAATGTATACCTACGTGACTCTAATTATATTGTACTAGATTCTAGAATTAATATGTACTAGCTTTACTACCCGCGTCGCCCGGGACTGGATTATTGTCTTGGATTAATACACGGAGGGTGGGGGGGGGTGCGTGACGTCAGTATGCACACTGCGTGACGTCACTAGGCACACTGCGTGACGTCACCGCTCCCTGGCCGTGCAAAATGTATCATTATTGTGCCCCCCCCAAATACAAAACTCTATTTTATATTTTTTTCCATTGCGTACTGTCTGGAAGTTACCCACATCCAAATATCAAGTTTGTTGCATGTTGGGAAGTATGTTAAACATTTCGAACAGACACATTCAATAATGTACCGTTTTTGTATATAGATGAGGTAAAAATCGTTAAAGTATTATCGTCCATATTTGGTCAGAAGACGACGTGACATAAGTCGACAGCACGTCAACAGCACTGCTGCGAAGGGAAACATAGAATAGATGGCGCTGTTGAAGTGGGGCCATGACCCACGTGCACCACTGCAACCTGTGGAGGCCGCAGTGTCGCTATCGACACGGATCGTGCTGAGTGGTTGTGTTCTGGTGCAACCTGTTCACCACTGCCCACGCAGCAGCAGCAGCAGCACACCCGTATGGTTTCATTGCGTGTTGGTCGCTTTAAAACCAATCTCGCGATAAATAGTCACTCGAAAGGCTCGAAAGCCGAGCGGCCAGCCAACCAGCACAACTTGAAAGATCGCTCTGCGTGTGGGGTTTGGGGTTGGGCCAAGTGGTCGTTGTAGGCCGTTTCGTGTCGGGGTGAAGCGGTCGCGTTGACAACCGTCACTCACGGGGAAGGGCAATGGGGGGGGGGGGGCAAAGGACCCCCCTGAGCGACCAACTGTCACACGGGGGGGGGGGCAATGGGGGGGGGGCAAAGGACCCCCTGAGCGACCAACCGTCACTCACGGGGAAGGGGCATGGGGGGGGGGGGGGGCAAGGACCCCCGTGAGCGACCAACCGTCACACGGGGGGGGGGCAATGGACCACCCGTAAGTTACCAACCTTCACTCACCAATTCAAAATCATGAACTTTATTCATCGTGGATAAATCCGATGAGCTATGAAGCTCGTTTGAACGGGTTCAGAAAATTACCCCAATAACAACAGGTGAAAAGTATGAGAAAAGTAAGCTAATCCCGAAAACGAAATGAGCTCCACTCTTTTTTTTATTAAACCAGGTGACGCCCACTGGACTATTTAGTTCTTCAGAAGGCCCATGTCTGTCTCCAGTGGGAAAAGAGCCGTGTGTTGTCCGCAGTGTAACATGTGATCGCTGTGCTTCTCCTTCTTCTTGCAGTTGGCGACCCCCGCGAGGGATCCCGCGGGGCTGTGCCCGGGACCCCCTCCCCGGATGAAGCCCGAGGCGCGGCGCGGGTCGCCGTGCCGGAGCTGACGGGAGCCGCGCAGGCGGCGGCGGGGCCGCGTCTGGGGGCGGAGCCTCAGGTGAGGGGGCGGGGCCCCGGGTGGCGGGCGGGGCGGGGCCCGCTGGCGCCACTCAGCCAATCACAACGCTGGGAGTGCACGGGGGGGGGGAATTGTTTTGATCTATCGCGGATCGGGCGACTGCAATGTCCTGTGCCAGAGCACGTCAACAGTTGTTAGACCCTTTTATAACGTGGCCTGTAGAGGGTGGCCCAAAAGTCAGGACACGCAAAGTTATTGTATTTATCTTAACAAATCACAAAGGGTCATTGAGTTTAATTTCAACAAATGTTAAAACTGATATCCATTACCATTTTGAAATGCATTTAGCACCTTTTTTAAATTACAGCTACCTTTTTTGCATGCATAACAACGAACTGAACTCGTTCGTCTTTAGTCAATGGCAACTTCTTTGAATATTTTGTCAGTTTGGGGTTCCTCTAAAAATCAATCGTCTATATATATTTCAGAGACATTTAATGCAGATCACTTATCGGTTCATGGACTTAATTTGATTCATTTTGGAGATAATTCAGTCTCACGTGTGTTGGGATGCCAGTCCGGATGGGAGGATTAATTGTGGATGTGTTGACTGCGTTGCTGTGGCAGGGCCCAACCATGACTGTGGCAGCTGGAGCAGAGGGCACCTCGTCCGGTAACGACCTCACGGTCTTGGCCCCCACCTCGTCCAACGAGGTGCTGGTGGCGGCCGACGAGAGGCTCTACACGCAACCCAGCTGCATTCCCCATGGCCGGCCTGAACCCTCCCTGGTGCCAGCTACAGCACGCGAGAACATCAGTGTCTGTGCTGCCTGCACCCCAAGGTGAGTGTGCGACCACGCGACCTCGTGACTTCTCGTTAGGGTGGCAGCCACCAACGCAAGGCCACTTTGGAGCCACTGCTGTTGCCCATCATGAGTAACACGGGGAGCTTAAAACACCTATCAGACAACGTGACAGGCACATCACATTATTCTCGAATTTGAGCTTCATACTTCAATGTGGAGCAAAATCTTTCTGGTTAATGGTGGCACGACGGGTGCTGGCTGGGGCCATGTTTTATCTATAATGGGAAATGTAGACCCAGAAGTACGAAATGTGATCGCTGTGCTTTCCTTCTTGCAGATGCGACACCCCCGAGGGATCCCGCGGGGCTGTGCCCGGGACCCCCTCCCCGGATGAAGCCCGAGGCACGGCGCGGGTCGCCGTGCCGGAACTGACGGGAGCCGCGCAGGCGGCGGCGGGGCCGCTAAACCAACCACAACGCTGGGAGTACACTGGGGTGGGTATTGGATAATGATAGGTGACGTTTCAGGCAATGATCCGTCTGCAGAGCACATCACAGTTGTTTGCCCTTTCATACCGTCGCCGATAGAGGGGGCCCACAAGTTAGGACACACAGATCTTATTGATTTATTTAAACAAATCACAGAGGATTGTTTTGTCATGGTATTAATTATAATAACAAAAAAATGTTAACTTTTAGACTAAATGATTAAAACGTTGCAATTTCAGTGGCACGATGAATGAAACTTTTGGGCCAACCTGTATTTTGCACTCCTATCATGTGTTGATATTGTTCGTTGTTGTAACATTCTTACCTGCCCCAACTGGACACCTATACGAAAGAGCTTTATAACTCATCGGATTCCTCCAGTCTAAATATCTATTCTGATTCCGATAATAATGTGTAATAAATATATAATCTGTGGTTATATATAAAAAAGCGACGTTTCAGGCAATGGCCTTTCTGCAAAGCACATCACAATTGGCCCTTCATAACGTCACCTATAGAGGGTAGCCCAAAAGTGATGCCACATAGTGTCATCATTTTTATTTTAACAGTTAGAAAGCATTATGTTGTTTGTTTTAACAAATGTTAAAACTGACTTCTGTTTACATTGATGCACGATGTACGAATGAGCAATCACAGCTGCCTTTTTTGCATACGAATGACAATCAAACTCGTTCGTCTCTGGTCAATTTCCTGTCCATTTTTTCAATGTCATCTGAAAATGAAGAAGAAAAATAGATATTAATAATAACATCAAGTTCAAGTTCATTTATTAGGTATAGCCCTGTGAGCCATTCGGCTCTTGAATCGGGTGCAACCACAACAAACAAAAAAACATGAACAAGAAAACATCTTAAAGTGACTATGTGACTATTTGCAAACAGAAAATCCAAAAAAGACGGCAAAACATTGCAGAAAAAGCACCGTACACCAACGCTGTGTGCAAAAATCCCAGTGGGATGCAAGTCCGGAGTGAAACATTTTATTTTAGGCCACTAAATAGCAGTGGCAGCTCGGGGTGTACATCTCCTCTAGAGCAGTTTTGAGTGAAGATATCATAGGTAGTGATTCAAGTTGCAGTTTATTGGCAATAGCATTCCAGACCCTGGGGGCATCAATAGAAAAGGCCCTTCCTCCAGTATTTGTACGGCAATAGGAATCTGAAGTTGGTAAATGAGCGAAGACCTTAGGTCAAATTTGTTCTTTGAAACTGAGAGGAGATCCCGCAGATAATCTGCGGATTTTTTTGTAAGTACATTATGAATCAAAAAGATCTGGTGCACAAGCCGTCGAACATTAAGAGATGTTAAGTTTGACCCAATGTAGAGATCACAGTGGTGAGTCCTATATGGGCAGTTCAGTGCAAATCTTAAGGCCGGGTGATACATTGAGTCAAGCTTCTTCAGTGCAGTACTTGGGGCTGATTTATACACGCTGTCACAGTAATCAAGTAGAGACAGTACGGTAGCTTTTATCAATTCCAAACGGAACATAGGGGGGAAGCAGTGCTTGTGTCGATACAGAAAACCTATTTTGTCTTTTTACAATATA